CCCCTGCCAAGGGAACTTTTCATTTTATTGTTTTGGTGTTGGAATAAGAGGGTTCAGGGGGTATTCAATAGTCGGGAGCTCCCGACTATAACCCCTGACTTGTTATATCTAATTTTACCGAAAGAACAGAATATCCGAAAACTGGACAACTGGCTGACCTCACCATCAACTACAATCATTTATACCCTGAACCCATTAAAAATGGGTAACAAGAGGTTCTAGTCGGGAGCTCCCGACTAGGGGAGCTATATTAAAAGCTATATGACAAGTTTGGTGACTCTAGCTCTTATTATTTACAAAATTGCCCAAAGAACACGATATCGATATCTATTTTTATCGATTGCCTGGAAACGGAGTAAATTATCGATTTTCGGAAACAAACTCGATCTAGGAGCACCTACATTTGAAATTTCAAGTCTCTAGCTCGTATAGGTTCTGAGATCCTTGCGTTCATACATACGGACAAACGGTCCGACAGACAGACGGACATGGCTAGATCGACTTAGCTATTGATACTGATCAAGAATATATATACTTTATGGGGTCGGAGATGCGTCCTTCTGTCTGTTCCATACATTTGGGCTTTGCACAAATACAATATACTTTTATACCCATTTTTAATGGGTTCAGGGTATAAAAACAACACTGATTCACTTACTTTCGTTCAAATATGATCCCGATTGCGGGATAGGGTTAGGCATTCTTCCCGAGTAAAGCACCTTCACCTCATTTCTCGGGCTTTTGCCAAATTAGCGGGCCGATCTCTTAAGTGTTATGTTCTTTCCCCCTTTAAATAAACGATTAGCCAGTGATACCCCCTTTTAACGTGAGTATTATCATGTATTTCGTATAAATATAACTATAAATATTGTTTCTTCCCTTTTCTTTAACATGCTTAAATGCTTCAATAATTACAAAGAAAAAATATAAGTATATCACCAAAATCCATTGCTTATTACCGCTGAAAATGAAATAACAATATGTTATAATATCTTTAACCATGAGTGGAGCACTGGACGCACATGAATATATGCATAAACAAGTAAGAGGTTCTAGTCGGGAGCTGCCGACTAGAGAATACTATGAACCCTCCTATTCCAACGCCAAAATGCAGTTCGCGCAACGCGCTCGTTTGAAGTAATAATGATAAATTAAAAAAAAAAAGTTTCCCCGGCAGGGTTCGAGCTTTCAACTAACCGTATTACTTGCTTCGACTCTACTCAACAGCCACACATGTAAAAAAGAAGTACTTTCCCCGGTAGGACTCGAACTCGCGACAAACCGCACCATTTGCTATGCCTCTACTTAACAGCCAAGGTGCTCCTAGTCCCTGCGCAGATCGGGTTTGTTTCCGATAATCGATAACTTTCTCCGTTTTAAAGCAATCGATTAAAATCGATATCAATATCCTGTTTTTTTTTGGGAATTTTGGTAAATAATAAGAGAGAGTCACCAAACTTGACATATGGCTTCTAAAATAGAATATATATATGCATTTGATGTTGGAAGAAGAGGGTTCAGGGTATCCCCTAGCCGGAAGCTCCCGACTAGAACCTCTTACTTGTTTTATTATTTATTTTGTATTTGATATAAGCAATCGAATACTGTTTTAGCATTCGAAATTATTTCAAGTTGCAGCATGCAGTAACGTGTCTACCGTGTTTTTACTAACCATGTTTGATTTTTTTTTTTTTTTTTTTAAATAAATGCACTTTAAAGTGAGTATTTTTGCTAATAATTTTTAAATATCAAAACCAACGATTTAGAGATAAGCGGAATATTTTTAGAAAAATTGAGAAAGCCGCTAATAGCGTAACGTATTGCGAAAACAGCAGTTAAGTTCAGAAAACTGTCAGTGATGGTGTCTATTTCGAGCAAGGGAGATTTGACCTACATTGACACTAAGGATGGACATACATTTTACAGTCACATCTCGTCAGCAGCACGCGGAAGTTTAGATTTTATGAGGGCAATAAGCTAATTTTTGAACTTTATCAGCAGCATGACTCAAAGTAAAAAGCTGATACGACGAGGGTGTTTTTTTTTTTAATTTTTTTAAAAAATGTATTTCGTTTATTTCAAAATCTGGTATCCTGTTACTCTAGCAACTTTTATCAGAGTGACAATGGCGAGGGTGTGTGTCTGCTGTACAACTGTGGAAATGTATTGGACACTCCACCGCAAAGTCCTGATATGAACCCAGAAACATTCATACAAAAACTAGTTGAATCAATGAAACTGCGAACACAGGCTGTATGTGACGCTAATGGCAGCCGCACAAAATATTCAATTAAATACTTTACTTTTTTATATTTTACTTCGTATTACAGCTTCGAGTAAAAACACTTGACTGCATAAAATTTTAATGTTTTTAGTTTTTTTACATCTATAAAATGTTTAGTTGCTTTTTATTTTATTTTATTTTTATGCCGTTAAGTTCAAAGAAAAAAGAAAGAATCAAAATAAATTAGGAATAAAAGAAAATACTCCCTTTTAAGTATATTTATTTTTAAATAAACAGAAAGAATAAGGTTATTTAGTTCGATTAAAAACGCTTTGTTAACAAACTGTATTTCCTTCAACCTCGTATCACCTCAACCATCCGGAATCCACATTATTAACTTATTTGTTTTGTGTTTTGTATGGCAATATCATATGAAAGAACTAGTGAAAAAATCGATGACAGCTGTCAGTGCGCAATTAACAAAGCGAGTTCAATATATTTCATTTTTATCGTATAATTTAGAAGAATTAAACTAAAAAACAAGTAAGCGATTCTAGTCGAGAGCTTCCGACTAGGGGATACCCTGAACCCTCTTCTCCTAACATCAAATGCATATATATATTCTATTTTAGAAGTTTGGTGACTCTAGCTCTTATTATTTACCAAAATTGCCCCAAAAAACAGGATATCGATTTTTATCGATTGCTTGGAAACGGAGTAAATTATCGATTTTCGGAAACAAGCTCGATCTGCGCAGGCACTAGGAGCACCTACATTTAAAATTCCAAGTCTCTAGCTCATAGGTTCTGAGATCCTTGCGTTCATACATACGGACAGACGGACGGACAGACATACATGGCTAGATCGACTCGGCTATTGGTGCTGATCAAGAATCTATATACTTTATGGGGTCGGAGATGCTTCCTTCTGCCTGTTACATACAGTATGTCAATAAAGTGTTTTTACTAACAAAAAAAAACTAATTTTTTGGGTTTAGTTGAAAATAAATGTACCTAAAAGTGAGAATTTTTTTTCAATTATAATTTATTTCGATTCTATATTTCTCCTAGAACTTAATGGCAAAAAGAATTGTTAAATAACATTACCCAAACATTTTATAAAATTAAAAAACTAAAAACATTCAAATTTTATGCTGTCAATAAAGTGTTTTTACACGAAACTTTATTACTAAATAACAATGTTAAAAAAACAGGAATATTTTTTTTTAATACTTTGTGTGGCTGCCATTAGCGTCACATACAGCCTGCAATCGCCGTTTCATTGAAACAATAAGGTTTTGTATGTATGTTTCTGGAATCTTCTGCCATTCTTCCAGTACAGCAGCTTTTAAATCAGTTTTTGATTTTGGACTCCGCTTTGCGACTTTTTTTTTCAAATATGACCACACATTTTCTATTGGATTCATATCTGGACTTTGTGGTGGAGTGTCTAACACCTTTCCACAGTTGTACAACAGCCAAACTCTTACCATATGAGCTTTATGCTTCGGGTCATTGTCCTGGTAAAATTTAAAAATTGGCTTATTGTCCTCATAGAATCCAAATTTCTGTGCACTACTGACGAGATGTGTCTGTAAAATGCTCAGATATTGTCTAGCATCCATGGTATTCTCAATGAAGGTCAAATCTCCTACACCCTTGCTCGAAATACACCCCCACACCATCACTGATAGTTTTCCGAATTTAACGGTTGGAATAATATTGCGGTTTTCCAACGCTGTTAGTGGCTTTCTCCAGACTCTGGATGGCCCATCGTTGTAGAATAGCATCATCTTGCTTTCGTCACAGAATATGACGTTACTCCAAAAATCGTTCGAACTATTTACATGGACTTGAGCGAACGATAGCCGCTTCAAAATATTCGCCGCCGATAGTAGAGGTTTTTTCCTGGCAACTCGTGATGTGTAGTCATTGGAATTCAGTAATTTTCGGACAGTTTCATGTAACACATCAACACCACTTTCTTCCTTGAACTCCTGAGCAATATCCCTAAGCGAAATTTGTGGATTTTTCTCAATTTTTCTCAGAATTTTTCGCTTATCTCTGTCAGAAATTTTGCAGGGTCGACCACATACTGGCTTTGCCTCTAGCCTATCTTCCTTATTGGCTCTGTTTAATATGTTGTATATCGTTGCTTTTGATAAATTAAACATATCAGCCAGTTCCGAGACTTGACGTCCCATCTGATGGTTATAATACACCAGCTGAGCGACTTCAAAAGTTGTTCTTTTTCCTGGCATTTTATTTTTCATAAAATTAAAGCAAAACGTTATAAATTGCAATAGAAAATGACAAGAAAAGTCGAAGACACAAGAGAAGCCAAAACGCATGGGCCCAAATCTAACGGGATCACCCAAAAGAGAACGGCAAAACAATTTACCGTAGCTGTAAAAACACTTTATTGACAGCATAAAATGTGAATGTTTTTAGTTTTTTAATTTTATAAAATGTTTGGGTAATGTTATTTAACAATTCTTTTTGCCATTAAGTTCTAGGAGAAATATAGAATCGAAATAAATTATAATTGAAAAAAAATTCTCACTTTTAGGTACATTTATTTTCAACTAAACCCAAAAAATTAGTTTTTTTTTGTTAGTAAAAACACTTTATTGACATACTGTACATTTGGATTTTGCACAAATACATACCCATTTTTAATAGGTTCAGGGTATAATTAGTTTTAAATTGACACATACATATTTGAAAATAAATATAATCACAGTGTTCTGCATCGTATGCTGGAACGTCACACTTACTTTTTAATAAACTTTGCATCATCGCTTGTTTGCATCGCTTTCAAGAAACTTTGAAATATTTATTGAAGAAATCTAAAATTGTTTATTTGTTGCAACTTCTACGGCGCCCTTGCTGGTTCGTGGTACTTTATGTCTGTTTTGAATAATGTGGTTAGACGGCTTACTCCGGAGACTGTTTCCTTTTGAAAACCACTGGTAATCGTTATTTAATAATAACGATAATGAATAACATATAGAAGCAGTACAAGTCCAAGTTATTCGGGAAACTAGTCGAAAATTAAATTCCACGTATCCTGTCAATACGAACATCGACAAAGATGTTAGTGATGAACGATATTTACTGAATATTCAAAAGTAACTAGTTACTGTTTTTGGCAATAACAAAGTCATTTTTCACTGAGTACATTTACGGGGAACGAATGAAATTTATGGTAGATGTGAAATTGCTGTTCCCATTGGCCACATTGAACATCCAACATCGTTACAAATGGCAGACATTCAAAAAGTTGTGAAAACTGTGTTGACGGTGCAGATATTGGTAATGAGCACCAATGTTTATTGGAAAAACTGGTGAATGTTGAATTGTTTACTTCAAGTCTCAATTTTGACATGCCAAGAAGTGTTTGGATGCTTGTAAGTGCTAATAATTAAATGTTACAAGCCAGAAAATTAATAACACAAGTCATGGTTCCATTAATTATGGAAGTGGTTTGTAGTAATTTGGATAAAGGAGTGCCCGAAAATGATTAAAATTTAACAAGCTTTTGTGTAGAGAAAGAAGTCTTCATTTTTAATGAGTGCTTCATGTTCATGAAAGGAAAAATAGAAATAACGCCCAATAGTGTCTGCCATAGTCTGCATGAGTTTTAAAAGGTAGGTTGATTTCCATATCCATCAAGATTCCATTGTTAAGTAGACATTGCACAATATATATTTTTTTATTAAGACGCCGCATTGAGATAAAGCAACTGACCTTGTAATTACAAAGGCTGCTTTTCTTTGGTATTATTTGCTCTAGTGCATTTACGGTAAGGTATTAATATATGGGAGGCGGCTTCTCCACAGCCATTAGCGGCAATGAGCCAGATTTACGGCTATAATATAATATTTCTTATTGTATGTATGCATTATTAGTTATGTATATGTTGTATTTATTGGTATTTTTCCTTGGAAATGGAGTCCCTCCAATATAAACTTAATTTATTTCCCACTCCAAAGAAAACCCTTAAATAATTATATTTTCGGGTGAGGTTATTCTATTTGCATCTGATGTCAGTCCGTCTCCGACTGAGCCTTGCACCTTGCAATACGCCAATCTTTTGATTGCCATATTTCAAATAGATTCTCTAGTGCCTGTTTCAGTATTCTATTTCTAGGAAGTATTGATTACCCTTTTTCTCTTAACTTAATATTTTGTTTACAGTGTTGGTCAGATCGTTTATCTCGTATTGTAATTATAAATATTTCTATATTGTTTTCCCCAATTAGTTCAGCTTCTGTCAGCTGAGTTTCCTAAAGGTTGTCATAATCAGATATCCCAGCAATCATTTTCCAAGTAGATCCCAAAATATTTATGCAATTTTACTGACCACTAACCGTAAACAAGTAGTATGTCAGAGAAAAACCCTAATTCTAGGCTAAAAAGATCGAATACGTTTGTGGATGAACAGAACGCACATGTTTTTTATAAGTCAGGAAAGGAAAATAATAACGCGTTAGTAGATTTGCTAGATTCATTTGTGGCAAATATTCATAGTGAAGAATCCCTCACTTATACGATAGATACAACAAATACCATACTCATACTCATACTCTTTAAAAATGAAATACGACACATTGACCGATTTTCAGACCAGGAGTCCCTTTTACAAATATTACAAGATATAGTAAAAACAGATGTCGTATTAGCTTCCATTCCACACATCTTAGTTGAATCTTTTCCATCAACCACATTTCGGCACACCAAATATCTTGTAGTGGATTTTACCAATAAAACCGAGCAGAGAGAGATCATGACAATGGAACATTTATTTATTTTATTTTATTTATTTATTAATGGTCGACAAAACGAGTGTCTTCCTCATTATTCAAAAGATTGTACAATAGAATTATATGCTAAAAGCCTAGATAAAGGATACAATTTTCTAAATAGCATCACCGACCGATGGAGGTGTTTTATTTGCCAGTCCGGCCAGCTGTGCCCCTTTTCACAGCTAATTTTGTCAGTGACGCTATTAGAGCCTACATCTAAGCAGAAGGTTGTAAGTAGGAAAAAAGTGATCTCAAGTGAAATTAAAAATAATCTTAATTTGCTATATTAATAAAGAAAATACAATAAATAGGAAAAAATAATGTAAGAAGATTGTTAATAAAGTAAAGCAGTGTAAGTTAGATACAGAGTGTTAAGTAGATAGGACAAAGAGAAAAGTAATGGGAAATCGCCGAGCCGGTGGGGGAAAATTTTTCAGCCTGTCCGGCAAGCTATGCCCCTGCTCATAGCTGGGAGTGGTCAGCGACTTCCCGAAGGTATCCTTAAAGCAACGATTTTATTAGGGGTAGATACAGTTCGGTAGAGAAAACGTGATGCAAACTATTATAATTTTTACATAGCGCGCGAAAAGAATTGTGCATATTGTCGATTGTATAACTGACAAGATAAAGTGTAGTACGATTAAATGTCATAAACATACACTTTGAACAATTTAGATGCAATTGATTGGCCGAACACCAAAGTAGCATAGCGTTCAAATCGTCTTGTAGACATGAATGATGTAGGGAGTTAGTGTATGATAGAAAAAGTTTGACATCGTCCGCATACATGAGTACACGGGCATGTGATATAACAGAGGGAAGATCATTTATAAAAAGAGTAAAGAGTAAAGGTCCAAGATGACTACCTTGAGGAACACCAGAAGTAACGTGAACCCTTTTAGAGGTTTTCAACCTCAGTATTACTCTTTGGGTCCTACCTTTTAAATAAGAATTAATCCAAAGTAAAAGGGACAGAGGGAAACCTATTCGGTCAAGTTTAAAAAGTAAAATGTCATGGTGCACAGAGTCAAACGCCTTACTGAAGTCAGTGTAAATGACATCAGTTTGCATTTTCGAAAGGAAAGCATAATTTACCAAGGAAGTAAACTCAAGCAGATTGGTCGTAGTTGACCGATTCTTTACGAATCCATGTTGAACAGGGGAAACAACTGATTTGCAAAAATGCTGCAAATTCGAAGTGATTATTTTTTCAAATAAATTAGGAATAGCAGACAGTTTTGCAATGCCCCTGTAATTTTGTATATCAGACTTCCCACCTTTCTTGTGAAGAGGAATGATATAAGATTCTTTCTAAAGAGATGGAAAGACAGAAGTTTCAAGGGATAGATTAAAAAGCTTTAGCAATGGATAAAAAAGGGAAGAACTACACTCCTTGAGTAGACAACTAGGAATATTGTCCGGCCCAGGAGAGTAAGAAGATTTTAAAGAGTTTATAGCTAATAGGAGAGAGGAGTGTGAAATAATGGGGGGAGGTATAGAACTAGGGGAAGAAATAGTATAAGGGTAAGAATTAGTATTAGGACAGACTGAAGAGTAAGTTGATTGGAAAAAATTAGCAAAGAGGTTAGCAGAATCAGTGTCATTGCTAGCTTTATCCATCCCAAGAAAAAAAGAAGATGGCAATCTTGAAGATTTGCGCTTCAAGTTTACAAAATTATAAAACTGTCTCGGATTTCGGGCGAATTGCCTTTTACAACGAATTAGATAATTCTCATAGCATTGAGAATTAAGAAGAAAGAAGTTCGACTTGGCTATGGAATATTTAGCCAAGTATGTACACGAACCAGACTTTTTAAACTTTTTAAAATATTTGGATTTTACATTTTTTAGATGTGATAATCTGGGAGTAAACCAGGGTGGTTTTGAAAAAGTAGTCGAAGGAATTGACTTAGGAATACACACATCTAAGAGGGAGCTTAGGGTGATATAAAAAAAATTAATGGCTGTATTCATATCAACTAAGTCATATAAGAAAGACCAATCGGTTGAATAAATAAGCTGATTCAGCAAAGAATAATTTCCTTTGCGAAAGCAATAGCGGGGCTTATTGGCTGATGAGCACGAAATGAAAGGATTACAATTTAGCATTGTAATCTCTAAAGTTGGATGATAGACATCCTCAGGAAGAGATAAAGGAGGGGACCTAGACACATTAGAAATAAGGTAGTCGTTAACAAATACAAGGTCAAGTGTTCTATTCATATGATTAGAAATTGAATTGATTTGAAGCAACGAAAGATTAAGCATGCAGTCTATAAAATCGTGCTGTGCTGAGGGCACTAGATAATTTTCAGCAGTGAATAATGACCAAGAGATGTTCGGCAAATTAAAATCACCCAACACCATTAATAGGTCATTATCCCGCACGTGTGAAGAAACTTCTTTAATACAAGTAATATGATTCATATAAACTTGAATATCAGAAAAAGGTGGGACATAAGAGCATGTTACATAGATATTCCGTGTAGGAAAATACACCTTAACTGAGACAATCTCAGCATCAGTAGGCGTACTAAAACAGAATAGTTCAGACTGGAGAGTGGCTTTAACGGCAATTAACACCCCACCACCTCGAGTCGGCCAATCATTTCTAAACAAAATAAAGTTATTCGGTAAAATCGCAAAATCAGATATGGTTGAGTTTAACCATATTTCTGAAAATGCTATTATATCCGAATCGAAGGAAGTGCTGGCCATGAAAAGATTTTTAAGCTTTGAAATGAGACCTCTGACTTTCTGATAATGAATAAAGATTTGGTCAGAAGATGAAGCTAGTTTTTTGGGGCAGAAATGTTACCCTGTATTGAAGGGAGTGGAAGGGTGACAGGCTGGTTACGCTTTCTAGGCTTGAACTCTTGAACAATCATGTGTGGTGGCCAAAATTTGGGATCACAAATGATTGGGAACATATCATGTGAAACATTTATTTTGAATGATGATATTTCACGAGGGGTGGAGAAATTAAATTTAGTTATTGACACGTTAGCAGAAGATTTGTTAGCAATATAGGCTGCCAATGACTCAGAAGTGGTGTCCGACGAAAGTCGAGACACAAAAACTTGGCTACGAGGGGCAACTACCGTTAAAGTAGGCGCTGATGGGGCTGTAGGTAATACAGGAGTTGGAGGAGCTATCGAGGCACAATGATTGTTTTTAACAATCTGGGCAAGATTGCGCGCAGGTCTACCTTTGCGGCCAGGAGCTGACGCGGCTGAGGCAGTGTGATTAATTGGGACGGAATCAGGTACGGGCTCTACTGGGACTAGTACAGGGGTTGAAACAG